ATATATATATGATTGTCAAGATCAACCACTCTGTGTACCTGAAATTTGGGGCAGTCTCGGGGTTCGGTCTCAAATTAGAAACCTCTAAATTGAGACCACAGACAGAAGTGACACTTGGTGGTTACAATAGGCCTATGTGAAAAAGGTCGTAACTTTTTCATCTGAAGTCATAGTATGATAATATTGGTATCTATGTTTTTGAGGCCCAGGAATTGGTTAGTGGTGACAGAAATACTTAAAAATTTTATTTACAGTGGTCAAATTTTAAACTTAATGCTTTTTTAGGCTTACGGTAAGATACGTACTGTATCGAAAAAAATATAGATACAGCTAATCCCACTTTCCACCCTGGATCTCCATGGTTCTGCACACACAGTGCACAATTATTATTTTGTTGAGTGGACAGCCTGTAAGATAAGCAAATACTCCTGAAATTTTTGTTAAACCTTTATGGTTACGTAGGCCTAGAGCATGAATATGAAATTGATGTTGTATGTATAAATTATCAGTCATCAAAATTAAGCTAATTTTTTAAAAATGTTTTGTAAATGAAGAAGTATAGGTGGAAATGGTCATTGCTACAATGATAAATGAAAGAGAATAAAAATTAAACTGTGCCTATTGTTTATCTTACAGTGCGTATCTTTATTAAAAGAAGGTGTCAAAATACTCAGGTCCAGAAACTGCTTCATTTAAGACCCGTACATTTGGTACTTGAAATATCACCCTTTTACAGACCATCACTATTAAACAACTTTATTTATTTCCTCTTGGTGGACAACCGTAAATAAATAACTTTCCATTTATCGTCCCGCTCCCAACCCATGACCGTTCTCTTTAAGAAAGTACGATCTAAACCCTCCCCCTTTAACGTAATAGAGAACCAGATCCAGAACTTTATATGGATCAACTTATCTGTTAATGTTAAAGTTCAATTTTCAAATTACACAGTATTTATTTTTTTTTTTTAAACCCCTTTATTTTCAAATGTGGTCTTGAATTGGAAGTCATTTTGTCACTTCCATTAAAGTGGTCTCGGTCTCGAATTAGAGGGGTCTCATATACCGTTCCCGGCTGTCAATCAAACTTCCAAGTAACCAATCAGAACAAGGCATATATGCGCTGTTTACAAACACGTTTTCCACACAAACACGTTTTCCACACAAACACACGAGTGAGACGGGGAGGTCAGTGTTAAAATATAGTTGGTTAGTTCTGGTTAGTTGGTACTTCGAAAAAGTGGTCTCAAATTAGAGGGGTCTCGAATTGGAGGGCGGACTGTAATATATAAAGAGAGAGAGGGGGGAGTGAGATGGGGGCAAGGGGAAGAGAGAGAGAGAAATGTTAAACGTAAAAAGATACCTACTCTAAATCGGCTGGTGGTAATGCTTTATACATACAAATTCTAACTCCCAATTCGAGACCTTCGAGACCACTTTTTTAAAGATCTAAATAAAAACCGTCAATTTTTTAATACTAAGTGAAGACGAACCCCGGGACACCCCTCCCAGAGGGGTCTCGTAAGACGAACTGTATAC